TATAATGGCTCCTTATATTTTAATTATAAAAAACAATTTAGTTTGGTATTGTAAGCGACTTGTGGTAGCCAGTATCAATTTACGATGGCGAGCATGTATCGAAGCATACGGATCTCAAAGTGATAGTGGTATATTTAATAATAGTGTTTTTGGGAAAAGATTGGAAATTAACGAATTCAATGTTACATCGCCACAGTTATTAGAGAAATCTAACATACAAATGACCTATTCCTTTGTTGCTGATGAAGCATTTCCCCTCAAAAATTATATTATATTAAGACCATAGGGTGGCAAAAATTTAAACTATACTGATAGGATTTCCAATTACAGACTCTCACATGCATGTCAAAAAATTGAAAATATCTATGTTAGTTGCCAGGTGGCGCATATTAACAACCACTATAAATGTCAAACCAGAAAGTGTGAACAAAATCATTAAGGCAGAAACGTACTGCGTAACTTTTGTCAAAAAGAATTAAACATGATGCCAAGAATCCACATTGCCCTCCTAATTTTATTGACATGTGATGGGGCTCGGAGAGAACAACGAAATTCACTATATTCTGGAGGACGAATGGATGCTAACCGTGCTAGGAGAGATTTATACAGGGTTGTTCCCAACATACGACACGGAGTATTGTAACTAAACGATTAGATTTTTACCAATTGTTTAAAAATATTTTTACAAGATACAGAGTGTCCCAAATGTGTAAAAAATATTATAGTTGTATTTTTTTAAATGGAACTCCCTGTATATTATTCTATTTTTAGATTCTACGATTTAAATAAAGGTAAATTTGATTAAGGTTTATCACACTTAAACCTTACCGTTTTTGAAATATTTTCAATTTTATGAAATTGCAGTAAAAATGTTAATGCTTCATTTCTTCAAGGGTATCAAAGTTTTTAATACTAAATATTTAATGAAGATTATTTATTGATCAGATATTGTGTTGCAATAATAAAAATTTTACTACCTTATACAGAGTGTCCAAAAATTTATATTAAATAATTACTAGCTTTAAACGGCAATAACTTGTTTAATTTAAATGGAACACCCTATATATTTCTCGTGAATCAGATGCACAATGTAATTGTCTATCAAATTGTATTGTTCCATTTTTTACCCATCTCTTCAAGTTTTCATAGAAAATGCATTTTCTTATTATTTAGACTTCATTTATCACTGTATCTATGGAATATTGACATTTTAGCTTATTTTTAAAGATGTAACAAATTTTCAAAGGGTACAGATACTAATATTGTCGATATAGTTCGCTTATTTAATTGAAAAAAATTAAAAAAAACTGTTTAAATATTTTTTGTTACAGAGGACCAATTAATATGATCCCAGTATTTAAACTACATTAATTGACTGTTTACGTTGTAGTAATTGCTCCAAATACTAAAAAACTGAATTTTGTGTGTGTATTAGACAGTGTGGTAAAAAGTAACACCTTATAAATTTTATTTCATTTATGACGAATGCTTATTTATAAAAACAGACACATTCATTTTCATAACTTATTATTATATTGATTTCTGAGCCAAATCCACATTTATTTAGAATAATTTATTAATTAAAACAATTTAAGTTTTGGTGTTTTTGGTAGGAAATAATGGTGGTATATTTAATTGGTATGCTCTTTTACAAAGATTTAAATAGTTTTTTTTGTATGCCAATGGGCTTGCAATATTTACCACCTGTACATTTTGTACATATTATGGTGCTATAAAAAAATCTGAAATGTCAATATTCCATGGGTATAGTGATAAATGAGGTCTAAATTATAAGAAAATGCATTTTCTACGAAAACTTGAAGAGATGGGTAAATAATGGTATAATACAATTTGAAAGACAATTACTTGGTGCATCTGATTCACGTAAAATATATAGGGTGTTCCGTTTAAATTAAACATGTTATTGCCGTTTAAAGCTAGTAATTATTTAATATAAATTTTTGGACACTCTGTATAAGGTAGTAAAATTTTTATTATTGCAACACAATATCTTATCAATAAATAATCTTCAGTAAATATTTAATATTAAAAACATTGATACTCTGGGAGAAATAAAGCCTTAAAATTTTTACTGCAATTTCATAAAATTGAAAATATTTCAAAAACGGTAATGTTTAAGTGTGATAAACCTTAATCAAATTTACCTTTATTTCAATCGTAGAATCCAAAAATAGAATAATATACAGGGTGTTACATTTAAAAAAATACAACTATAATATTTTTTACTTATTTGGGACACTCTGTATCTTGTAAAAATATTTTTAAATTGTAGCTCTAATAGACCTTCAACGAACCCAAATCTTACAATTTGTAAAAATCTAATCGTTTAGCTACAATACTCCGTGTCGTATGTGGTGAACAGCCCTGTATAATTTAAGAGATAATTTTTCAAATTATCTAGTATCCTCAGAAGGTTCTGTACCTTGTCAAAATAATATAGTAAATAGAGATTTAAATAAAAATTAGTTGTTATGCCTGGTTGCGTATTGGAATTGCCTCCTATGGTACGACGCGACGCGACGCAGCCTTAGAAAATTGTATGCCGAATCACGGAAGACAATGTACCACGATTTGCGAATAATAGGCTCGACATTCTCTTCTGCATTCGGACGCCACGGGCTGTATCTTAAAGCGGCTACGTGCAGTAGATATGTCACAAATTATTTTCCCATTATGAGGGGCGATATCTACTATATAAAAATGCAATTTGCGTTACGTGACGCCTTAAGCAGAAGTGCTTCTTTCATTTAATATTTCATATCAATCTATTTAAAAAAACATGGTTAGTGACATCCGATTGCAACAGACCCGATTTGGAACAGACCTGATTGGAACGGACCCGATTGGAACGGCTCTGATTGGAACGGGTCCCTGTTGGACCAGCTCGATCGGGTCAACAGGTCTGATAGAGCGGTTAGCCCTACATCGGCTAAAGCTTAGGTCTTTGAATGTTTCACATATTTTTAATCGAATCTATAGCGGATCAAACCTAATAGCTGTCGTTAAGAAAGATTTTTCAAAATGTAAACCAATTAGTTTGAAATTTTCTCAATATTTTTTTTGGTATAGCTATTACAAAGAAAAACGTTTACCCATATAATATAGCTCTTGATTACCGTGTAACATAATTGTAATCTTTTTAGACTTTTACATATATCATTAGTTTGAATTTCTTTAAATGGGTCCCTCACATTACACATTTATTCAAATTATGTAATCTATTTTATTCTAATTATCTTCTATACTCATATACTCATGATATATTGTTTTTGTTCGATCTATTTTTCTATAGAAATAATTTTGGGCTTACAGGAACACACATTTGAAATTGTATTAGCCTGATGGTCCATCAAAATATCGTTGAAAAAATTATTAACGATGGTATTGGGTAATTTAACAGAAAATATAGTGCGGAAAAATTAATAATTACATAAAAATATTTTTTGAATATATACGGTGTGAAAAAATAAACTGTAAAATATATGGTGTAAAAGCAATACGTGATGAAATCACCGCTCGGTTTTAGCGATAAATATTTAAGTAAAATAAAATAAATCAAACTGAGTATTATTACATTGTTCTGCAAACTAGCCTTATCAGTTTATAATTCGTCAGTAGTTATGATATCATATTTTCTTGGAATATTCTCAATTTTAACAATAACATCCGTTAGGCGACTAATTGTCATCCCACAAACTATTCATTAGTGGGCAGAATCATCATTTCCTTTCAAAACCGCATCAAAAATTTCTGATATAATTATCTACATCCGGCATCCGGCGGATGTAGATAAGACCTATGCACAAAGTTTAATTTTACTTAAATATTTATTGGAGATTTTTAGAGGAAACGAAACCATACAAAACATATAAATAAAGCGTTGGCGATTGAAAAGTGTTAGTTTTGATTTGGCTCTTGAAGAGTTAAGACATGTTTAAAGTGTGTCTCTCTTTTTTAGTGTGATGTCTTTTGTCGTTGACCTTATTAAGCATATCGCTGCCTTACTCGGAATTTTTCGGGAGAAAGGTAACGATGAACTTCTTCGGGAAGGACTTCGGAAGTGTACTTAGGCTACTAGGCATATAAATTATGCATTAAAAAATGCTTCGACGGTTGCCGAAAAACAAAAATTCCAAGCGGCTCTTATTAATGTGAAAACTTTAAGGCAACAATTTAAATTAAAACAAAAGAAAGGGGCGGGTCTCAATAAAAAGAAAGCGACTGCCTGTTCTCGCGTCGAATGGGAAGATTTGCACTCTGCTTTCGATTCTCGCGTTAGAACGGGCGTTATTATCAACCTTCATCATACGGATCCGAAACTGTTTTTAAATGATTGCAAGGCATTATTTATAAGACGAATTCAGAATGTGCTGAAAAAGGTTGATGCCTTGAAGGTCAATGGTGTGTTTTCTGGAGAGTTTACTATGAATAAAGCAGATCAGGTAAAGACCGAATTAAAATATTTAAATACTAAAAACGGAATAATTTATAAAGATACTAATTTAGATAATTGGTTTGTTAATAATATTCAAGATATTTTGCTAGTTGAATTGGAAGAATTTCAGGAAAAAGATAGCGGTTGGGCGTTATCTGAAATTAAGAATTTAACAGTAAATATAAATAAATATAATCCTCTAAGAGCAGGTACCTATATCGATCTTCCCACACAAATTAAAAGAAAAAAAGCTTGTGTAAATGTCCAAAATTCCGATGATATGTGTTTTGCGTGGGCCGTACTATCATATCTGTATCCTGCACCTTCAGAAGTTGCAAATAGAACTTCATCGTACCCAAATCCTCAAAAAGTACTAAATTTAAAAGGCATTCAGTTTCCTATGACTCTTAAACAAATTCCGCGATTTGAAAAACAAAATAATTTATCTATTAATGTATACAGGTTGGAACAATTAAATAAAAGTTTCAACGTTATTCCTACTCATCTAACTAAAAATAAACTAGAACGGCATATCAATCTCCTTATGATACAAGATAATTATTTCAGTTCAGATAACGAAGAGGAAATATTTACCCCCGTTAAATTTCATTATGTATGGATCAAAAATTTATCGCGTTTAGTTTCAAGCCAGATAAACAAGAAACATGGAAAAAAAATTATATGTGACAGGTGTCTTCACTATTTCTATGATGAAGACAAATTAAATTTACATTTAAAAGACTGTATAAACCATAATAGTGGCCCTCTTCCAAAACTTCCACAAAACGATAAAAAGTGGATTGAATTTATAGATTTTTCATTTAAAACTAAAGTTCCTTTCACAATTTATGCCGACTCTGAATGCCTTTTAATACCCACCGAAGATAACAAAACTAAAAACACTCAAAAATACCAAACACATATACCGTTTAGCGTAGGATACTATGTTAAATGTGATTACGATGATTCGCTCTCGTTTTATAAATCGTACACAGGACCGGACTGTATTGAATGGTTTGTTAAAGAACTGTTTGATTTCGCTGAAAATGTGGAAACGGTTTTCCTTTGCGATCTGCCAATGGATATGCTTACTCCTGAACAGACGCGAGCTTTTTTAAATTCTAAATTATGTCATATATGTGAATCTCCTTTTAATAGCGATGATAAAAAAGTTAGAGATCACTGCCATCTAACGGGGAGATATCGAGGTGCGGCCCATGAAAAATGCAATTTAAATTTTCAAGATAAACATATAGTTCCTGTTTTATTCCACAACTTTAGTTCGTACGACGGACATCTGCTGATTAAAGCCCTGGCAGAAGTAGAAGGATCAATTGATGTATTGCCCGTCAATAAAGAAAAATATATATCAGTAACTAAACATGTGCCCGGAAATTCAGTTCAATTTAGGTTTTTGGACAGTTTTCGATTCATGGCATCCAGCCTGGATACTTTAGCTTCTAATCTTTCGGAATATCCCATTCTAAAATCCATATTTCCCCACTTAAACGAAGAACACTTTAGTTTGCTCACTCGTAAAGGTACTTTCCCATATGATTTCATGGATGGGTGGAATAAACTAAATGAAACTCAACTACCTCCTAAACCTGCCTTTTACAATAAATTAAATGATTCATATATCAATGATAAAGATTATGCGCATGCTAAAACAGTTTGGAATATTTTTAATTGTCAAAATATGCGTGATTATTCAGAACTATATATGAAAGTAGATATTTTGTTGTTAGCTGACGTTTTTGAGCAGTTTAGAACCACATCTCATAAAACTTATTGTTTGGATCCAGCTCACACTTATACTCTTCCCGGATACGCTTGGCAATGTATGTTATTTCAAATGAGGAAATCTGATATTAAAAAACTTGAACTCCTTACAGATTTGGATATGGTACTCTTCATTGAAAAGGGAATTCGGGGTGGTCTGAGTCAATGCTCGAAAAGGTACGCTGAAGCAAACAATAAGTACATTCCGTCGTACGATCCCTCTAAAGACGAAACCTATCTTATGTATTTCGATATTAATAATCAATACGGGTGGGCTATGTCACAATACCTTCCATATGGCGGTTTTAAATGGCTTATCGAAAATGAAATTTCAAACTTAAATATTCAGAATATTAGCAATAAGTCAAATAAGGGATATATATTAGAAGTCGACCTGTATATTCCATCCGAGGTGCATGATTTCTTTTCTGATCTACCCCCTTGTCCTGAACATGATATACCTAAAGGCTCTAAAAATTCCAAATTATTAGCCACGTTATATGATAAAAAAGAATATGTTGTTCGCTATAAAAATTTACAACAAGCATTAGCTTTAGGTGTTAGAGTAAGAAAAATTCATCGTGTTTTAGAATTTAATCAATTTCCCTGGTTAAAATCCTATATTGATTTAAACACTCGGCTCAGGCAAGCTTCAAAAAATGATTTTGAAAAGAATTTGTTTAAATTGATGAACAACGCGGTTTTCGGTAAAACCATGGAAAATATCCGGAAACATTCTTCTGTTAAACTTATAACAATGTGGGAAGGTCGATACGGGGCGGAATCGTTAATTTCGCGGCCTGAATTTAAAAGCAGCACCATAATTAATGAAAACCTTATAATAATTGAATTATCTAAATCTGAAATATATTTTAATAAGCCAATTTATGTGGGAATGTGTATTTTGGATTTGGCAAAAACCACAATTTATGATTTCCATTATAATTATATGAAAAAAACTTTTTCCGATTGTACCGCTCTTTATACTGATACCGATTCGCTGATTTATGAAATTAAAAATCAAGACGTCTATGATGTAATGAAACGAGATTGTTCGCTGTACTTTGACACCAGCGACTACTCTCCAGATAATATTTATAGTATTCCTCTAATAAATAAAAAAATTCTCGGTATGATGAAGCATGAAAATAACGGACGTATTATGACCCATTTTGTTGGCCTTCGATCTAAAATGTATGCAACGAAATTATATTATACACCTATGGAGCTAGAACAGAAAGAAATCGCATTTGAAAAAAAGGGGGAAGAACAACAAGAAATTGAAAATTATCTGAAAAACATTGGTTTAACAAAAAAGATTAAGGGGGTTAAAAAATCTGTTATTAAAAATTGTATTACATTTGATGATTACGTTGACTGTTTGAAGAGTTGTAATGAAAAAATAATTTTGCAAACGTTAATACGATCTAGTAAGCATAATATTTATACCATAAAGCAGTCGAAAATTGGGTTAAGTCCCCATGACGATAAGAGACATCTAATTAAGGGCTCTGTTCAGACTTTGCCGCATGGACATTGCTCCATAATGGATACTTAGTTTATTATATATGTATGTTTGTATGTGTGAATGGCGTGTGCATGTGTATAATTAAAAACAAATTATTATTAGTTAAAAAATATAAAAAATAATATGAAAAAAAAAATAAATGGTAATAACAAATAAATAAAAAAATAAAAAATAAAAAAAAATAATAAAAAAAATAATAATAAATATTTTAGGTGAATTAAACTTTAGATTTGTGTTGGTATAGTTGCCTATATACAAATTTTATTTAAAATAATGAACCACCTAGATTTTATTGGCGAATTAAAGAGCCGTCTGGATTAATTTTTAGATCTGTGCTCGTGCTGCCTACTCCTAGTAATTTGTTTGGAGTGAATGAGTGTGTGAATGTGTCCCCAACAATGTAGCTATGCCTTGACGCGGCGTTGGGGCTTAAGATTGTTTTTGTAGTAAAATTATTATAAAAGCAATCAACTAAATTAGCTACACACCTCGTATATTAACCTTATTCTACACACCCCGTATATTAACCTTATTCTACACACCTCGTATATTCCAAGTAATGGTATTATCAGTTTCCTGTCTGTCATTCGGCCTTCACATTATATTTTTAGCTACAAAATCATCAGTTTGTTTCTAACTTTTCATGGTACTGCATCAAGAAATTTACTGTGTATTTTCAGTGCGTTTAGTGAAAAGGGCTATTGAAGAAGAAAAAGGGCATCAGTGTATATGTTGAGTGACTGGATAATAATACATATAAACCTCGTGAGTATGCATTTTTAGTAATACGCTTTGTATTTTGATTTAATACTCTTAAATTAATTTTCTTCGTTTCGATAAATATTAAAGTTTTTTTACATTACAAAGGGTTTTTGTGGGTATACTCTTGCTGTAATTTTTCTGTTTATTTCTGCCGCCGTCACACCTAGTTTTTTTTTGGCGCGCTGATTTTGACGTTTGACTGCAGCGATGTTTACCGAAGTTAAACGATGGGCTATTGTCCTTGTATATATTTTTAAAAAAATTTCTGTTGGAGCTTGCGCGCCACACCTAGTTGACATTTGACGTTTTACTTAATACTTTTAATCTTTTAGTAAAGAAATGTCTTTTGGTTTAATACTCTTAAATTAATTTCAATACCCCTCACAATCGTTATGTTTTGCATTATAATATGTACATATTTTTGAATTTTTTCTGTTTACTTTGGAGCTTGCGCCATGTTCGGTTTTGGCGTACCACTTATGACAGATAGAATGACATAGTTGGTGTTTGACATTTAATCATTGTTTTGATTCCCAATACTCTTAAATAATACAAATAATTATACGGAAACCTCAATTCGCATATTTAAGGATGTTATTTTACATCGATGTAAAGTTTTCAATATTTGTGCATTAGTAGACTTTATTAATACATTTAAATGTTGCTACAAACGACGGTTATTAGAGTTTGCTAACTCCAGGCGCAGTTAGCCACAATTAGATTACAAAAATGTTTGTTCAAGATCAAAGACAATTGACAGGATATTTAAAATATCCGAAACTATATATCATAGAGCATCGGAAAAAGACAGTTCGCTTTTATACACCGTGAACACTGGAATCGGATTTTGCGATTGCCCGAGTGGCACAAGTGGACCATTTTGCAAACATTTGTGTGCTCTTCAATTACAATTCGGATTTTTATTCCAAAATTCACCACTTTTAACACATAAAAATAAAGTTGAACTAGCTCGCATTACCCTCGGAGAAGTATCCGCATATTTTTTTCAAGACAGGGACTTTAAAGAAACTTACCATCCTGAAATTTGTAATACTGACATTGACTTTATTCCGCCAACGGAGTTTCCACGCCCACATAATTGATTTAAGTAAAAAATCACAAAGGAGCTTTAGAAACGTTTCGTACGGAATTTACAAGGATTAGCAAAATCTTTAAGAAATACTACTCCGGAAGCTACTACAGCATTGATAAAATTGAATAATATTCTATGCAAAATCCAGACACCAGCACAGGCATTAAATTTTGCAGCTGAAAAACACACTCGTTCCAAAAAGATTAAAGTTCAGCCTACATCCATCGTCAGGAGCAAAAATAGAGGTTTATCAAGAGGTAGTAACAGAATTCATGCAGGTCCTCCTTCAGAAGCTGAACGAAAAAGAAAGAGGAAACATGAGTCACGTGAGTTATAGAAAACATTTTTTTTTAAAATATTAACAACATGCTTTTCATTTCAAGCCGTGACAATCGAGTAGAGGGCTATTGCATTCCAAAAGACAAATAAACGAAAATAACAAACATTGCTTTGATTACAGCATTCCAGATAAGGTCTTGGATAAACATTCTGCATTTTATTATTCTTGTCTCTGCTTTTATACCAATTTCTAGAAAATGTGCATGGAATTTACTTATGTAAATAAAAATGGAGTTTTGTGGTGTTTTTTTTTATCGTTTTAGGTATGTACAATATCTATCCTCCTGTGTTAGTTTATTCAGAGTTCTGCAGTTGTTGCTCTGCTTCAATCTTTAAAAATTTTTACCAATTTTCAAAATGGAAAAAAATAACAAAAGAACACATTTTTCAAATGATGTCGATGTCACATTGGCGCGGGAAATTTTTGTGCAAAATCCCTATGAAGATCCGAAAAGATGGAATTTAATACAAATTAACATTTTACAAATTACAGGGAAAATATATCTATTAGAGCATTAAAAGACAGAATAAGAAATTTACTGAATAAATTTCTTAACAAAGAAAAAAAAAACAACTATACCAGTAAGTTTTATTTTTTTAAATATTTGTACCTAGTAATTTATTTTTAATAGGTCTGGAGTTGAAGAAGAAATAGACGAACTAGACGATTTGCTTCTTCAAATTTCCTTATTAATGAGAGAGCAGAAATCAGTAGGCAATAATAAAATTGCTGATACATCATACCAGCAAGGATTCACACAGAGGGAGAAAGCAACTTTAAAATTTAGCGAAGAAGGTATAAAATATAGTTTTGTTAAAAATGATTATCTAATATATGATTATTATTATTTCTAGTGCATGTTCCAAGTTTTGACACTGAAGTAGAAATAATAAATGGAAGGGAAGATACAGTGTAACCAAGTACCAGTAGCAGACAGCAGACTGAAAAATGCGAGACTGTTAACAAAGAAATTAAAAAAAACGAACAGTACAAAGAAGTGTTTTGAGTAAGTCATAAAAACTACATAATATAATAAAAAAAAAAAATAATAATAATAATATAATAAAACTACATAATATATACTTATAAAAAATTTAATCAAAGTGTTGGTTTTTCTTATTCGTTTGCCATGAAATATGAATTTTACTTCTCATTTCTACTATACTAGATATTAATTATTAAATATATGTATGCATATTTGCATTTACTCTTGTACTTGTAAATGAATACTTGTTAATAAACCGTTTTAGTTATTGCTCATGATTATGCAGGATGCAGCAATCGTTATCTTTATACAAAAGTTTATTGTATTATTTATAGGTCCCTCAAAAAAAAAGACAATGTACAGGGTGATCGAAATTATTCTGTTTTAACAGAGAAACCCTATTTCCTGACTAGATAGAGCAAAATCGACACAGATGTTATGGGCTCGATTTCTGAGACACGTTTAATGACATTAACCGCCTGTTGATATTTTCACTACCAACTGAGATACGGGGTCTTTTTGAATTTTTTACCATTTGGAAAATTGCCCATAACTTTTTTATTTCGCGGAATAATAAAATTCTGTAAAAACGTTCTTAATAGTTATGTGACCATTCCCATGAGAACCGGCGCATCATCATTCTGGTCCCAGGAATCGACATTGCAACTCAGCAAGATCGTGGGAAACCTAGTTTACTTTTAAATCACATTGTATTATTAAATCATTCCTTGTTCTGTTGTACTGTACACTAGCTTCTAAGTTTTTGAAAATAAATAAATTTTTAAAAACGAACTTCTGCCGTCGAACGATTTAAGTGGCGCAGTCGGTAGGATAACACGATAGTGTTTTCATTAAAAATTCGACTGTATATCGAGAGAAATCCTACTCGGGTTTTCAAATCCGCCAGTGTGATCCGAAAAGAACCTAGACGAAGAAGAAGACGCAGCAGCAACCACAACAAGCAAGGGGTCGGAAAGGGACTGGAAAAACCTAAGGTTAGTGCCATTTCCTTTTACCCTATTGATCCTCTGTTTAAGGCCGTCAATAGGAATAGTTAGGGCAAATTAGATTTAGTTCAGCCTATAGGAGGCAAAAACAAGTAGAAATAAGAAAAAAAAAACAAAACGAAAGCTATTTCAGAGAAAATAGAAAGTAAAATATACAAATAAAAAGTTTATTGATTAATTTTTAGGCTAGGAAAAATATTATTATTTTATTTGAGTAGCGCAAAATATTCAAATACAAATATTTTATTTTTAAGAAACCGAAATTTTAATTTTCATTCAAAGACGCAAGTTTGAATATAAGCTATTATTTCAAAAACATTTTATTTTTAAGGAACCGAAATTTTAATTTTGATTCAAAGGCGCAAGTTTGAATTAGAGCTATAATTTCAAAATATTTTCAAAGATTTAATTCATAAAATTTTGATTCAAAGTCGCAAGTTTGAATTAGAATTCATTGAAAAGAATATTGTTTAATGTTATGAGAACAATAAAATTAAACATTATTTTAATAATCGTTTTAGAGGACGGAAGAGTCGTAATCATTGACGGAGAATACGAACAAATTTTCTAAAGGGAAATTTTTACTTTTTCGAATAAACTTTTGTTTTTCTGAAAAAAAAGAAAAATTTACTTTTAATATAATAAACAATTTAAGTGACACTAAATACAAAAATAATTATTACTCTATTATTTTTAACATCTAAATAATTTAAGTGACAAACGATAAAGTAACGAAGAAAAAAATTGGCATCAGAAATAGATAAACTTGTAGAATCATTTAAAACTCTTAAATTTAATTTAGAAAGAACAAGAAAAATGCCTAATGAAAATCAAGGTCAAATT